GATACTAATCTGAAGTGATATCTGCATTGCCACTTACCTCTGTGATCATCACAGCATTACTTAAGAGTATCCAAGATATGAAAACAACCCAAGTGCCTATCAACAGATAAATGGATAAAGAAGATGTGGTGTATATATACATACACACACATATATATACAGTGGAATACTACTCAATAATAAAAAGATGGCATTTTGCCATTTGTGATGATGTCTGTGGATCTTGAGGGCATGATGCTAAGGAAGGTAAGTCAGAGAAATACATATGATTTCATTCATATTTAAAATATGAAAATATTATAAATATTATAAATATATATAAATATAATATTATAAAATATTTTAAATATTTAAAATAAATGAACAAACCAAACAAAAGTAAGCATGTAGATACAGAGAACAAAGTATTGATTATCAAAAGGAAAAGAACAGTAGGGAAGGGGAAGTAGGTAAAGGGAGCTCAAATATTTGATTGTGAGCACATTGTAGGGTATATAGATGTAGATATGTAATGCTGTATACATGAAACTTACAGATCAGTGTTACTTAAATATTTGAAAATGTTTTACAAGCTACAGACTAATATTTCTCATGAACACAGACACTAAAAGTACAAGAAGAATACACTACAACCAAATAGGATTTATCCCAGGTGTTCAAAGCCTGATTTAACTTTTGAAAATCAACTCATATAATCCATCACAGTAACAGAGTAAAGAAAAATCATACAGTAATATCAATAGATGCAGAAAAAAGCATTTGATAGAGTCCAGCACCCACTCATGATAAAAAAAATTCTCAATTAGGAATAGAGGTAAACTGTCTCAACTTGATAGAGAGTATCTGCAGAAACTACAGCTAACATTGTGTATAATGGGAAGGAGTTGGAACCTTTTGTTCTAACCTCAGGTACAAGGCGAAGATGACCTTGCTTACCACTTTTAGACATCAGGCTGGAAGTTCTAGCTAATGCACTAAGAGAAAAGGAAATAAAAGGTATAGAGATTGAGAAGGAAGACCTAAAACTGTCTTTATTCACAGATGATATGACTGTCTATGTAGAAAATCCAAAAGAATGGACCGAAAACCTCCTGGCACTTACAAGCAGTTACACAAGCTTGTAGGATACAAGGTTAATACACAAAAATCAAGCAATTTCTTACATACCAGCAATGAACAAGATATTTTAAAATAAAAACAATATAATTACCATTAGCATATCAGACAATGTAATACTTAGATATAAATCTAACAAAATATATACAAGAACTATATTTTAAAAATCTACAAAACTTGATGAGTAAAATAAAAGAATTACTAAGTAAATGGGGAGATGTTCCATGTTTATGGATAGGAGGACCCAATATTGTCAAGATATCGTTTCTTCCCAACTTAATCAGTAGATTCAATGCAACACTGAACAAAATCCCAGCAAGTTAACTCATGGACATCGACAAATTGATCCTAAAGTTTATGTGGAGGAACAAAAGACCCTGAGTAACTAACAGAATATTGGAAGAATAAAATAGGACAGAACTGCAAGCTAAACTAAACCTAAAGCTACATAACTGAGACAATGTGGTATTGTCAAGAGAATAAACAAATATGTCACTGGAGTAGAGGACAGAGCCCATAGGTAGAGCCATATATAGTCAACTGATCTTTGACAAAGGAGTGAAGGCAATATAATGGAACAGAGAGTCTTCTCAACAGATGATGGACATCTACATGAAAAAAAAAAAAAAGAATCTGTACATAGACCTTAACACCTGTCACAAAAATTAACTCAAAATAGATCACAGACCCACATGTAAGCACAAAGCTATAAAACTTGTAGATTACATAGAAGAAAACCTAGATGATCTTGGGTTTGGTGATGCCTTCTTAGGTATAAACCAAAAGCAGAATCCATGAGAGAAATAATTGATAGGCCAAATTTTGTTAGAATTAAAAACTTCTGCTCAGCAAAAGACAGTGTCAAGGGAATGAGAAGGTAAGCCATAGATTGGAAGCAAAAATTTGCAAATGACATATTTGAGAAAGTACTGTTATCCAAAATATACAAATAACTCAAAACTCAGCAACAAGAAAACAATTTAAAAATGAGTCAAAGGCAATAACAGATACCCCACCAAAGAACTTAGATGGCAAGTAAACATACATAAAGATTCTCTCCGTTGTATGTCATCAGGGAAATGCAGTTGAAAGCAATGAGATATCACTACATACACTAACAACACCAAATGCTGATATGAATGTGTAGCAACAGGAACTCCTGTTTGTTGCTGGTGGGAATGCAGGGTGGTCCACTTTGAGGTTAGTTTTATAGTTTCTTAAAAAACTAAACATACTCTTAGTATGCAACCCAGCAATTACACTCCTGGATATTTACCCAAAGGAGTTGAAAACTTAGATCCACACACAAAGCTGTACACATGTGTGTGGCATCTTTTTATTCATAATTGCCAAAACTTAAAAGCAACCAAGATATCTTTTCCATAGGTGAATGGCTAAATAAACATCCAAACAATGGGATAATATTGTGTTAAGAACTATCAAGTCATGAAGAGACACAGAAGAACCTTAAATGTATCTTACTAAGTGAAAGAAACTAATCTGAAAAGGCTGCATACTGTATATGGCATCCTGGAAAAGGCAAAACTCTTGAGACAGTAAAAAGATCAGTGATTGCCAAGGGTTGAGGGTAGGAGATGGGGGAGCAGTGAATAAGTCTGACACAGAAGTTTTCTAGGACAGTAAAAATACTGTGTATAGGTATTATACATGTCATTGTACATTTTTCTAAATCCATAGAACGTGCAGCATCAAGATAGAACTGAAAAAAAAAGAGCTGTAATGTAAATTATGGTCTTTGGGTGGTTATGATGTATCTGCATAGGTTTATCAGTTGTAATAAATGTACCACTGTGATAGGAATGTTGGTAATGGGGAAGACTATGCATCTGTAGAGGCAGGGAGCATATGGGAAATCTCTCTCCCTCCCCCAGTTTCATGAATCTTAAACTGCTTTAAAAAATTAATTTAAAAATAAAATTTTTAAAATTACTGAGTGCTTACTATGTGCTATTACTATGAACAAAGCTGATTTAGTGGTAGAATAGTAGACTCAAAATCAGAAGAGTCTATTCAAGTCCTTTTTTGTCACTTGTTAGTCTTGACACCCTTAGACAAGGCACTTGATGTCTTTGAGCCTTACCTATGATAGTGTTCTCTTATGATGGTATGGGAATCAGATTAACACATGAAGTTTTTTGAAAACTAGCAACGTGAAGATGTTAAGGACTTACTATTATTAAAATAACTAAGACATGACCATTGGCTCTTAAAACTTTTTTGTTGGCATGCTTTGTAAATAGCATAAATGAATAAAGCAAAACTGCTGTATAAAAGAGAAGTACTGTTAATGGTTATGAATTTAGAAAATAAAATTTCAAAAAGAGGTCAATACCTTTTAATGTGAGTGGAAATATTAACATTTTAATAGAATAGCAATAAGACAAATTTGACTTTCCAGGTTTCTGCTTGGGAAAGAGAAGATAAAATGAAAAGATAGTCTTTCTAAAGAAAGAATCCTGTGCTGTGCTGTGCTCAGTCGTGTCTGACTCTTTGCAGCCCCATGGACTGTAGCCCACCAGGCTCCACTGTCCATGATTCTCAGGCAGGAATACTGGAATGGGTTGCCATGCCCTCCTTGAGGGGATCTTCCTGACCCAGGGATTGAACTCAAGTTTTCCACACTGCAGGTGGATTCTTTACATCTGAGCCACCAGGAAAGCCCAAGAATACTGGAGTGGATAGCCTAACACTTCTCCAGGAGACCTTCTTGACCCAGGAGTCAAATCTGAGTCTGCTGCTTTGCAGGCAGATTCTTTACCAGCTGAGCAACCAGGGAAACCCAAAGAAAGAATTGCACAGTATTATTAGCAATTTTCTCAGAGTTAATTTTTTTATAGCAAAAATGTCAAATGCTGATTTGCACTTGCCACTATTAAGTAAAAGTAGCTTAGCTAGTATTGATGTTATACCAGTCTAATTAAACTGATTTTTTAAAAGTATTTCCACATTCATAGTACGATGGGTTGGTAGTTGCCTTCTGTAATAGAATTCTTTTTTCTTTTGAAAAGCAAATAGGAGTTACAGTCAACAGAGGAAGATCTGAAAGGAAACAAATTTTCGTTTTTGTGGAAACAGTCTGGTTCATTTCTATTCTCATATGATCATTCAGCAATATTTTAGCCCAATTGTGCAATGCTTACATTTGGGTATATCTTCCTTTATTTAAAAAAAAAAAAATCAGGAAATTCCCTGGTGGTCCAGTGGTTGGGACTCTGCTCTTCCACTGCCAAGGGCCCAGCTTCAGTCCCTGATTGGGGAACTAAGTTACCACAAGCCAAGCGACACGGCCAGAAAAAACCCCCAAAAATCAGAATAGCCCATGTAAAAATACTGCATTTCTTTGACACATTTTACTCATTTATCTTTGTCCAAATTCTCTGACTCTTGAGAATAATGGTGTATGTGGACCTGCTGGAACTAGGAGTGTTTCTTTACCTTTCTTACAGTCTTTTTAGACACACCTATGCATTAAAACACTGGTTTTTCAGCCCGCTTGGAGGTTGGCTTTTACAAAGGAGTATGGGAAATCTAGCAGATACGAGAAAGAGAATACAGTAAGACTATTTACCAACCTAAGGGACTCTATTTATCAACATAGAGTTTCACATTTTCTACAAACACAGGTTACATTTTATACAAATAGACCTCTCACTGAAGATAAAGTCTTTCTGATTCTAGTTTGTAGCACACTTATTCCTGAAATAGTGTAAAGGGAAATAATCCTTTCTTTTTTATGATTTAACAGGGGGAAAAAAGTTTAATTGGTGTGATATAATATTCAGTTTCCTAAATTAAATGTTCTTATTTATTCCTGAACTTTGGCTTATGATGTTATATACAACATGTATGCTTTTCTTTTCTAGAAGCTGCTAGTGTCCAACAGAAGGTCAATTTCTTGGAAGAAGGTATTTTCTCTTAAAATACCATGCAGTATATTCTAAATCTTTTTGTTGTTGTTAAGAGTAGAAGCAATTTTGGTAGGTATTTAAGAGAGAGGACAGAAGAAGGCATTTTTCTTCAGGAAAAAAATATTCTTGCTTAAAATCTGAACTGTTAAATGGACAGGTAAAATAGGATAGAATGTGTGATAATGGCTTTTATGATATTTTAAGCATTTTTTGTTGAATTAATTTAAGAAAAGCTAATGTTTTCTATTTCTGTCATGTGCTAGCCTTTGATTATGGTATTAAAGTAACCAATTTTCCAAATCTTATATTTGAATAGTACAGTAAAATTTAGTGTTTTTTTTTAATTTATTTATTTTTTAATTGAAGTATAATTGCTTTACAGAATTTTGTTGTTTTCTGTCAAACCTCAATATGAATCAGCCATAGGTCAGTCTGTTTCTAAGTTCATCATAATCTGAGATTAGTCCTGTGCATACTGAAATGTTTATGTACGGGTATATGTATACACACACCCTGTTTGCAAACATACACACATATATGCAAACACATTAGTGCATATACTAATCTTCTATGAATTTGTACACTAATTGTATGTACTTTTCCTCACCATAAGGTAAAACTTCCCTTCTGTTTAATGTTCATTTACTTTTTTACTCTAAAGCCTTAGAATACAATCTTACTGAATATTCGTTTGGGATATAATTATGTACTCCAGAGAACATGAAATAAATGAGCTCAATTTTAGCTTTTTTAGAACTTTGTGACTCAGGATAGTAAGCATAATAAATAGCAATTCTAGATCTGATTATTTAAAAGGCTTCATTTTAATGTCAGATTGTTTTTATTTATTTTTTTAATCCAGATATTTAAAGATGTAGAATAAAGACTATAATAGTGTGTTTTTATTTTGTTTTAGCGGAAACTGAAGAAAATGATCAAGACAGCTCTGACAGTGATGTTACTGTTAAGGTCAGATCCGGGGATTCTGTTGAGTCTGGAGGTAACATTGCTTTATGCTTTATGACTCTTTTCTTAGGAGCTGTAGTTCTAGGTAGAGTATAAAGTATTCTGTGAATTTGCTAAATATTTTAAAGTATTAAAACTACTTTTTAAAAAGTACTTTTAAAAAAGTGTACATTTATTAAAATTACTGATTCCACATAGATATCTGATTAGTAATATAATATCTAAACAAATCACTTCTACCTTACCTTGTTATTTGTGGAACATATTTTTTTGCACCAAGAAAAAGCTATTTGTGGTTTTTAAAAAACTTTAATAGAGAAACTGATCACACTGGCATAAACTCACTGTACTGTCAGGAGTATTAGCTATCTTTTAGGAAGTTTTAGTAAACTTAGATTACTACTTTTATCTCTGAATTGCTCAAATTCACACCTAGTTAGCAGTAACAGTTTCTGATTGTTCATGAAAATTGATGTTTAAGTTTATTCAAGGAAAAAATCAACTGAAGGAAAAAGAAGTACCAGCTTGAGGCTTAATGAGAGTGCCGATCAAATTTGTAAACAGTGTAACTTATGAGTAGTTTTATTTATATGTTAGTCCCATTAGCAATAAAATCTGTACGTATTTTTCCCCACCTTTTGAGAATTTCTGTAATTCCTATGTTTTACTTAATCATTCTCCTTTCAAAATGAGCTCAGAAGCCCGCTTATGGGCATTTGATATTCTTTATATTTCCCACCCTTTGTCATTTTTCCCCATCCTTTCTTGACACATAAATCCCAACGGAGATGTGCAAGACTTACATATAGTGGTTAAGATCATGGCTCTTGAGTTTCACTGGGTTTCACTCTTCCAGTACTATTGATAGGTTTTGTGCCCTCAGGCAATTGCTTAACTTTTCTGTTCCTCAGTTTCCTCACTGGTTTGTTGTGAGGTTAAAATACTCAGAGAGTGCCTGGCAAATAGTAAACACTCAAATTATGTGCTATTGTTAGTTGTTAGTTTTCATATATGCATACACCTGTGTTCTAAAACTGAGAGACTGATTAAGCCATTCATAGAGCCGCTAGCTCGATACCATTGCCATCAGTGCTACTCTGTGAAACCACATAAACCACAGGCTCTGTAATCCCTTTAGAATTCTAATAAATTCTTAGTGAACCACATATACCCCATGCAGAGGAAAACTCTAGCTAAAGAACAAAGAAGTGAAGCATATTAGGAAGAATACTGGTCTTTCTCGATTCTCTTCTGGGCCTATTGTCGCCACAGAGGGAGAAAATCCACTGGAGTGCAGAAGGAAGATATTAGAATTTAGTGTATTACAGCTTTTATTTCATCCATGTAAAATGTCTATTTTAGTTTGTTTTATAATATGTACAATACATTAGTTAATATTATTTTAGTAATGCTTATATATAAATTAAAAATATATTTTGGAGATTGACACCGAAAAGTTTTTAAGTTAATAGGAGTACACTGGCAAAACTACTTAGCCACTGCCTGGATGTGTCAAATATTTTTGCTCCCAAGATGGCAATCTGATTGTTTTTAAACATAATTTGTTATAAATTCTACTTTTAAATGAAAAAAAAAAGTTGAAGATTTTTAAGAAGGGAAGACTAAAATATATAACATATTGATCTTTACAAGAAAAATTTAAAGCAAAATGGATGGTAATGATTCCAAGAAGATCCATTATTGTAAACTTTGAAGATTTTCCCCCATTCACAGGTTGTCATTATTTCTTTTATCTCCTGCCATGTTCCATATCTTTTATCTTTAAAAAGAAAAGACAGATAATTAATTTTTTAGATATAACATGACCCTTTAGAAACTATATTTTAATAAATTATACATTCACATTGAAGTGTTGAATTCCATGAGGTTTATCTGAATATTTTTGCTCTTTTGATTATTCATTATTTTCTGGTAAATGTGCACTTAGAAAGTTAAATGTGCTTTATAATATACTATATTTCTTTTTTGTTTTTAGACCAAACCACCAGATCATCACGTCAATATAAAGAATCACTTTGGCATTCATCACAAAGTAGGTAAAACCATAATTTACACTCTTAAAAGTCTAGATGTGATTGTGGTCAAATGCTATTCTGATTATTGAAGATTGTCTTTTGCAGTTTAGTGTAAAATGTTGATAGAGGGTATAGTGAATGCTAAAAAAAAAAAAATTCATCTTGCATCTTGAATTTGCTTCTTGAGTTAATCACCTTTGTACTCAACCTTGATTTTGAATGTAAAAAAAAAACAAAAAACTGCTGCTTTCTGTGGCTTGTTGAATGCCCTGGTTTCCAATGTGAATTTGTTGATAAATCAGGTATAGTAAAGTTCATGGTACATTAGTTAGTGTGTATATAACAGTCTTACAGCTTTGCTTCCAACTTTGAAATTTTTCATAATAAAATGTTGAGAAAATGTAACACAGATTGGGAGGTAGTATGAAGATGCTAACAATGATTTGTTTAGGACAGTAAAACCATTGTTAACATTTTTCATTTTCTTTTATCTATATTTTGTAGATTATCTACAATGAGTATGTATTTCTTAGATTAAACAGAAATTACACTGTTTTTTTCTTTTTTCATTTTTAAATAAAATCCCAGAATTCAAATTAATAATCAATCAAAGATATCCTGGAATGTAAAATCTTCAAGGACTTTGTTTTCCTCCCACATGGCCATTTTAAAAATGAGAGTTTTTATATTTTTAAAGAAACATGTTTTTTAATATATGTAATTTTATTTATTTACTTATGGCTGTGCTGAGTCTTCATTGCTGCACTGACTTTTCTCTAGCTGCAGAGGGCAGGGTCTGCTCTCTAGTTGCGGTGGTGCAGGCTTCTCATTGCAGTGACTTCTCTTGTTGTGGAGCCTGGGCTCTAGGGTATGTGGGCTTCAGTATCTGCCACTGCTGGGCTCTAGAGCACAGGCTTAATAATTGACACACGGGCTTGGTTGCTGCATGGAATGTGGAATCTTCCTGGATCAGGGATTGAACACATGTCTCCTGCCTTAACAGGCAGATTCTTTACCGCTGAGCCACCAGTGAAGCCATGAGACTAGTCATGAGACTATTTTTATAAAGAAAGTCTTTGGAAATCTGTTTTATAATCACTCTGTTCATAGAATTCCACTTTATATATGTGCGTGTTGCAATGGCACCCCACTCCAGTACTCTTGCCTGGAAAATCCCATGGACGGGGGAGCCTGGTAGGCTGCAGTCCATGGTGTCGCTAAGAGTTGGGCACGACTGAGCGACTTCACTTTCACTATTCTCTTTCATGCATTAGAGAAGGAAATGGCAACCCACTCCAGTGTTCTTGCCTGGAGAATCCCAGGGACGGGGGAGCGTGGTGGGCTGCTGTCTATGGGGTTGCACAGAGGTGGACACAACTGAAGCGACTTAGCAGCAGCAGCATACATGTATTAGTTTTTAGTAGGTTCTGGTTTGGAATTTAAAGCATCTGAAACAAAAATCAGTCTTTTATGGAAAATTACTCTGAATCATCTTATATATTTGCCCTTTGTTATTCTAAATCTTTAATCTTTGGAAACTCTGAAATGTGTCTCCCTATATTAATTATGCTATACTTATGTAATGGTATACTTTTCAGTTATGGAAAATGAGTTGTTTGTATAGTTAGGTGATCAGTATATATTTCATTGAATGTAAAATGCCATCGCTTTTACATGTCACTGAGAAAGAAAACCATCCAGTTAAACTTTGTCATACCATTGATTGTAAGATACAGCCCTAACACAAAGGCGTTTTTTAAAAATTACTTCATAGAATCAATGAAAGAATACAAAAAAGCATGTGTCTACTTTTTTAAGTTGTTAGTATAGACTGAAAACAAATCTGGAATATATGTCTGTCTGTGTTATTCATCATAGTTTTCCTTCAGTGTTGTGCACATAGTAGACACATAATAGATTTTAATGAATTTTTAGGTTATGCATTTCTAGAAAAGTGTGTTTGTATTACAGCCAGCGTATATTACCTTTATAGTCAGAAAAAAAATTACATTGAACATAAATGTATATTGATATCAGTAGGTAGAAGTAATTTGTTTCTTCAGGGCAGATTTGGAAATCGACCACATTATAATTGTAATATCATTTTCTAATTATCTCCTTGTATCGTTTTATAGTTGTCCTTAAATACCATCCCCAAACATGAAGTAGCATCTTGCACTACTATGCTTATAAGGTGTTCTCAATTTTGCTTGTGTAGTATATACTGTTATATATGAACTGCTGGGTTTATATCTCAGTCCTACTACCTTTACATATTTAATCTTGGGAAAATTTTCAGTTTCCTTATTTGTGAAATAGAAATAATAGTATCTACCACATAAAGTATGAAAATTAATAAAATTACACTTAGTACTGGTAAGCAGTCAGTACATTTAGTCATTATTTTGATGGTGTTCCTCTTAAAGCTAGCTTCTTCTTATCCAATTCCTGAACATTTTGACGTTTAGGAAAGGAAAACACATATAGGTTGTATATGTTTGGGACTGATGACAGAAAGCTTTGATTTTTTTGTTTGGTTTTGGTGTCAGTAGTAAACAGGCAAAATGTCTATGCATCCAACCATCTTCATTTTTCCCCCCAAGGTTTCTATGAACTCATCTCTGTTTTCTGTTTCAGGTGGAGACTTCACAGTGTTTGATAAGCAACCGTTAATGCAAAGTAAGTGGTTGGTTGTCTCTTCTTTATCAGTTAACCAAGTCTAACCCAGTCTTATTCTGCCAACAAAAATTTGAATAGGATTGAAAGTCATTTTACCCCCTTTGCCTTTTAATCCACCACAGATTGGTACTATATGTAGTATTGGTACTCTGTAATGTGGAAATGTGTTCAGGACTACTTTACCAAACATAATTTATTTACAAAAGTAAGTGGTTAATCTTTCTCTTCTTAATTAACACCAAAGTGTTAATGAAGTTCAAGTGTTGATAATCCCATTTAGACCATAGCAAAGGACTTGTACATAGTTTTGTCTGTTAGGAGATTATGTATTTATTTGTTGCCTCTTTTGCTGTGAGAAGTAGTTCATCCTCACTGTTGTGATCTTTTGACATTATTGTTTACTTCTGAACCTATTGCTTTTGTTTTTTCCCTTCCTAACTTTCTTTTACCTTTCTGATAAAATGTGCCTTATAACACTTAGATATAGTATACATTTTCAAAGTATGTGCAGTGATATCTTGATATGTCACAGGCTCAGGATATCAGAAAACTCCGCAGGAATGGGCTGAACAAACCACAAGAATAAGGACTAGGATGCAAAGTAAGTTGATAAATCTGTACCTGTTATTGAAGTTTTAAAATCTCTGTTATTGAAGTAATTTTAAGTTTCTTTGCTGTTTTTTTGATTATTTAACAGATAAAGCTATTTAATTCTTCAGATAAGCTTTTGAGTTGTTTGTGATCTCATTAATAAAGGACATTTATGATTACTAGTGTAGTTATTTCTATCTATCTGGACTGGTAAAAAATGTAGATAGTAGTGTGAGAAAACCAGTGGATGATACGTCTATACTTGACAAGTTGTCAGTTCTATCCAGCAGTGGTACAGTCTGCACATGAAAATGAAATTCTGATCTTTTGACAATACCTGTTTTTTTTTTTCATATTTAACAATTGTTTGTGTGAAAGTCACTCAGTAGCGTCCGACTCTTTGCAACCCCTTGGACTCTACAGTCCATGGAATTCTCCAGGCCAGAATACTGAAGTGGGTAGCTGTTCCCTTCTCCAGGGGATCTTCCCAACCCAGAGATCAAACCCAGGTCTCCAGCATTGTAGGTGGATTCTTTACCAGCTGAGCCACCGGGGAAGGTAAACAGCTGTTTACCATTATGTAAATAAACACTTCAACCAGCTTTGCATACTCATTATTTTAAGTTATAAATGCTGAAATCCTCAAATTGTATTTTCATGTTTAGGTTTAGGATAGAGTAGATGTCATAGAGTTTAAGAAATATTTATTTAAGAAATAAATAGGTATTGTGAAACTTTGAATTCAATGTCTATCATAACATCTATAGCAATGTATCCACATTAAACTTTATATTAAAAAAAATCCATGCCATGCCTTAAGCTAAATTGATAACTCCTATATAGTATATTCTCTGTTTGCATTTCTGCTTTGTCTTAAATTTGTACATTTGCAGTGGCTTAAACATGGTGATTGATAGCCATCCACTGTATATATAGGACTTCCAGAATTAAATAGAAATTATGTAGTAGAAGTTTGCACATAAAGGTGCAGATAACAAACTTTTTTAGGTTTTTGACTGCACAAGGACTTCAAGATAAGAACAATAAACAGGAAGAATTTTCAAAGTAGAAGACTGCAGTGGTTTCTAGGCAGCCTTATAGATTCCTCTTCAACCTAAGATCATTTGAAAAAACTTTTCCTTAGGTTTCCAAGTTTCATATCTCATTGTCTTAACTCTGCACTTCTGCTTCTTTGAGGAAGAAAATACGCATTTTTAGATTTAGGTGAACTTGGATTTCAGATTGTTATTATGCTTTGTTAGCCCTGGCTTCCTGGGTAGACAGGTCCCAGTTCAGGTTTCTGCCTGTATCCAAACCTTTTGGGAAAGATCGAGCCACTGTCTTTACTTTTGGTGTTTCCCAGGTGATAAAATAGAGGAAGAAAGACTGTCCATGGAAAGTCAGGCCTCTAAGTCTATGCTCCATCAATATACATGCTTTGGAACCTGCCTCTGAAAGTGGTATAGAGAAAAGAGGAGAGCTTGGAGTTAGAGCTGTTGGGTTGTGGTCCCAGATCTTCTGTTTACTAATTGAGTGATCTCAGTAAAGTCACTTAACGGTTGTCAACTTCAATTTTCTTAACTTAGCAGTTGGGACAAAAAAAAAAAATGTTGGGACAGTAGTACCTATAACTAGGTTATTCTAATGAGCTAGATATGTGAACACATTTTTTAAATCTCAGTGTTTTAGTTGCTCAGTCATGTTCAATTCTTTTTGACCCCATGGCCTATATAGCCTGCCAAGCTCCTCTGTCCATGGGATTTTCCAGGCAAGAATGCTGGAGTGGGTTGCCATTCCTTTCTCCAAGGGATCTTCCCAACCCAGGTTTCCTGCATTGTAGGTGGATTCTTTTACCATTTGGGCCACCAGGGAAGCCCAGGTCTCAATGTTTCACATGAAAAGTGAAAGTCAGTCTGTCTGACTCTCTGCGACCCCATGGACTATACAGTCCACGGAATTCTCAAGGCCAGAATACTGGAGTGGGTAGCCTTTCAAGGGATTTTCCCAACCCAGGGATTGAACCCAGGTCTCCCGAGTTGCAGGCAGATTCTTTACCAGCTGAGCCACAAGGGAAGCCCCATGTATCACATAATTAATACATATTTATTATTAACTCTATATGTGTAATAATCAGTGGTAATAGCTATGAAATATTCTTGACCTCTGCTTTTGACTTTATAGAGTGATTTGATTGCTACCTATTCTTTGTATTGAAAATAACTCTGAGCTTTATCTTTTTAAAAAGATCTTTTTTAAAGGAATTTTTATTACTGTCTAAAAATATTTTTAATAAGAAAGAGTTTACCTTTTAAACAATGTGCTGCCTCAACAGTATATGCCTTGCTAAGTTTGCGTTCTTTGAATTCTATAAATAAATATTTCATACAGTGTATAGTAACTGTTATAATAAATTTTCATACAGTATATAGTAGCTATTCTATATCTTTAAAATCATCATAGAAGGGCATGTAAAAACATTTTTATGTGTTGTCACATTGGATCTTTGCAATCATGGATTAAGATATTCAAGATAAACATCTTGATGGATTTTCTTCCTTTTAAGAATATTTTATTGAAGTATAGTTGATTTACAACGTTGTGTTAATTTCTGCTGTGTAGCACAGTGATCCAGCTTTATATATATATATATGTGTGTGTGTGTATATTCTTTTTCATATTCTTTTCCATTATGGTTTATCACAGGATATTGAATAAACTTCCCTGTGCTACACACAGGGACCTTGTTTATCCAGCCTATACATAATAGCTTGCATCTGCTAATCCCAGACTCCAGTCCATTCCTCCCCCACCCTCACCCTCTTGGCAGGTCAGCCTGTTCTCTATGTCTATCTATGTCTATGAATCTGTTTCTGTTTTGTAGATATGTTCATTTTGTGTTGTATTTTAGATTCCACATATATGATATCATATGGTATTTGTCTTTTTCTGACTTATTTCATTTAGTTTGATAGTCTCTGGGTCCATCCAATGCAAATGGCATTATTTCATTCTCTTTTATGGCTAATACTCCATTATGTATGTATGTGTGTGTGTGTGTGTGTGTGTGTATGTGCCACATCTTTATCAATTCAATACATTTAATGTATACAACTTATGTGTTTAATGTATACAACTTGATGAGTTTGGACATGAGTGTACACCTGTGAAACCATCACCATAATCTGTGCCATAACGTATGTATCACCTCCAAAAGTTTTTTCCCACCCTCTTTATTTATTATTATGTGTGTGAGGTAAGAACACGTAACATAAGAGCTACCCTCTTAGCAGCAAGTTTTTAATATATAGGACAATAAATACAGGTACTATATAGTAGATGTCTAGGATTTATTCATCTTATTTAACTGAATCTGTGTACTCTTTGACTAGTATCTTCTGATATCCCCCTGTCCCAGGCCCTGGAAACTACCTGCTTCTATGAATTTGACTATTTTAGATTCCTCACATAAATGACATCATGAAGTATTTGCACATCTGTATCTGACTTATTTCATTGGGATAATGCTTTCCATGTTGTCAAAAGTGGCAAATTTTCCTTCTTTTTAAAAGATGAATAATAATTTCATTTTGTGTGTGTGTGTATCACATTTTATCCATTAATTTGTCAATGGGCATTTAGTTTGCTTACATATTTTGGCTATTGTGAATATTACTACAGTTAACATGAGTGTGCATATATCTCTCCAAGATCCTAATTTCAATTCTTTTGGATATATATCCAAAAGTGGGATTGCAAGATCATATGGTTGTCCATTTTTATCTTTTGAGGAACCTCCATAATTCTTTTCCTAGAGATTGTACCAGTTTGTATTCCCACCGACAGTGTACAGGGATTCTGTTTTCTCCACATCTTCTCCACATACCTTTCACTTTTGTTTTTTGATAATAACTACACATTACATTTGATAATATGAGGTGATGTTGTGATTTTGATCACATAAGTCATCGTGCTTTTTAAGTTCAATGTAATCCCATGGTCTATTTTTACTTTTGTTGTCTGTGCTTTTGATGTCATAACCAAGAAATCATTGCCAACACCAACTTCAAGAAGGTTTTAACCCAAGTTTCTTATGGGAGTTGTATTATTTCAGTTCTTAGTTTAAGTCTAGTCTGTTTTGAGTTGATTTTGGGGTGTGGTATATGATATGGATCCAATTTCATTCTTTTAAAAGTGGATATCCAGTTTCCCCAACACCATTTACTGAAGAGACTGTCTTTTCTTCGTTGCATATTCTTGACACCCTTATTGAGGATCAGTTGACCACATCTTAGGTTTATTTCTGACTCTGTTCTCTTCCATTGGTCTATTATGTCTTTTTATGGCAGTACCATAATGTTGTGATTACTCTAGCTTTGTGATATATTTTGAAATCAGGAAGTGTGGTGCCTCCAGTTTTGTTCTTCTTATTCAAAGTTGTTTTGGCTATTTGGGATCTTCTGTGGTTCCATATGAATTTTAAGATTGTTTTCCTTTTCTGTAAAAAAGAAATGCCATTGGAATTTTGATAGGGATTGCACTGAATCTGTAGCTTGCTTTTGGTAGTGTGGACATTTTAAGAATATTCTCTAGTCCATTACCATGGGATGTCTTTCCATTTACTTATATCTGCTTTAATTTCTTTCATCAGTGTTTTAGAAGTTTCAGTTATAATTCTTTTACCTCCTTGATTAGTCTTATTCCTAAATATTTTCTTCTTTTTGATGCTGTTGTCAATGGGAGTTCTGTTTATGTTAACTTTGTTTTCTTAATTCTGTTCTATGAGTTATAAATGTTATATATGTTTCATAATAACTAATTTAGCTATTCTCTATTATTAAAATCATCATGTATGTCACAGATTTTTCATATATTATCTCATTTGATCTTTGCAGTCAGGGCGTAAGGTATTTAAGATAAACATCATTTAGTAGAATTTTAATTTTAATTTTGGTGACCTAACATTGAAGCTTCTAAATGATGACATTTCCTAGACTAAACTAGTAATTGCAAAGCAGTTATCAGGTTAGAGTTAAGATTGATGCCATTTTGTTTCATTTGAGGTTTTTTTGTCATATGACCAGAAATAAGGCTATTTCTATTAAAAACAACAACATAAATTAACAGTGCTAATTGTATTCCTCCAATTTAGTCCAGTGTTTCTCCAGTGAAAACTGTTGGTAAATACTAGAAAGATCACTTATACACATAAAAGCTAAAAACTCCAGGCAAGTGATAGGTGACAGTACTGGTAATGTAGATCATACAAATGAATAACTCAGCCTCTTCACCTTCTGAACATTGTCTTTCCATTTCCTTTTTCTTAGATATTAAAATCTGTCGCCATGTCAAAAAAGATGGAGGGGGAAAGGAAAGAGCTGGATAGTTTTTTATTTGTTTTCTAAAGTAATGATGGAAATAGAGATTTGATGGAGTTGTGAGAAAATTATTTTTGACACCTATTGTTTAACTAGCCACAAAGCTAAAACAGAATTACTTGTCTATTAATAGAAATGGTGAAAAGTTTTTTAGTGTAATTTCTAAAATATTACTGTTATTTGTAATGGTCAGAAGCACCAGAGGCAGTATTGAGTCCGTTTGAGGTAGAAAATAAGAAGATTTAAGATTGAATTTTACCTTAAAAATCCCTTACCCAAATAGCTCAGTAATCCATAATCCATGTTTTGTCCTTCTATCCCTCTTTACAGCATCATCACCAGGCAAGCGTTCAATATATGGCAGTTTTTCAGATGGTATAATATGTTTCCTTTTATTTTAGTTGTACTTGTTTTCTTTGTCCTCTTGCCTTTGTCCCGGAAATTTCACCACTCTCATTAAATAATTTGGGTCAAACTCAAGGCTTTCTCACAAAACTAATGTATTAAGAGTATGCTTTGTACTAGACTCTTACATGCCATGAATAATTATGAAAGAAATGGGTCTGTGTCTCAAACCACTGTCAATCTATTAGACACTTGAATCTTCTGCTTTTTCTTCTGCTTCTGGCTGATCTCTCCCTTATTTTCTCTTGGTGAAATTTGTATTTTCTTTTTTCTATTGGATATACTGAAATTATGAAACATATATTGATAATCTCTATTACTCCTATCATTAGATGACAGTGTTCAGAAATCAGAGCTTGGAAACCAATCTCCATCAACCTCCAACCAACGTAAGTTTGTCTATTCATCTTTTATTAAATGAGTCTCAGTCTCAATACCACTTAGCACTAGAAAAGTTAATAAGTATCCCTTAATAAGTATCCCTAGAGACCTTTGGGGAAAAAAGGGTTATACCTGTCCATAATTACCTAGAGATTAAAGCTGAAAAAAAATTTTTTTAATGTTTTTCAATTATTTTTAAATAATTTTGTGTTTTCTTTAATCTCTAATGCCTGGTTTAATAAAATGAGCTGGAATTTCTTTCTGCTTCTGTATTCAGCCTGTTCCAATAGATTGTTTTGGTTGAGGTATCTGCAAAAATTTAGCTTTGTACGGATATGTAATGTTTTAATAATCTTTAGACACTTGTGAATATTCTCTTTTGATACTCTCCCAAACTCAGATAACATTAGCTTCTAAATGTTATTTGAAATATGAACTCTGAAGCCCTATTATGAGCTTTTTGTCTTCTGTCACATTAAAACCCATTGGTCTTTCTTGTACTTTGAGTATCATGCACTGGTCATTTGGAAAAGGTTGGTTCACTAAGTTATATCGATCTTCCAAATGCTGACATGTTTTTAATCTGATATAAAAAGGTCACATTTGTTAAGATCACTACCAGTCTCAAGACAAAGAAGTCTTAAGTATTGAGAGCTGTTAAATTCATGATGGCAGATATCCTGCAACTCTAATTTTCACTTGAAACCTTGAATTTTATCACTGGGAACAAAGATTGTCAGTTTCCTTGAAAGCAAGAGGCTCACATTGTTCCTTTTCAGGAAAATGTCTCCCAAATGCGAAGTCTGAGTAGCCATAGTTTGTCACTTGTCCTTTCCAGTAAAAATTCTATGAAAAAAAGCACTAGTTCAGCTCACAACTCAATTGCGCAAAGTGCTTTATATATACTTCCCATTTCTTCACATAGACTGTTATACTCAAGGGTTGAGGTTTAATAAGGTAAATAGCTTTAAATGCTTCATGAAGGATGTTCTTAGGTGAAATTGATAACCTTGAATACATGGCTGTGAAGAATACAAAGACAGTCCTAGTATAGTTTGGTGCCACTGCCCTGTGATTGATCTAAAGCGTCAATTGTTTTTCCTACTATGGCTTTTTACACCATTGGTGCAGATATCAATATGGCGGGAAGAGGTGAATAAGATCTTAGTGTTAGGAGAACAGCTTTAACCTCAAACATTCCCTTGAGGAAATCTTGAGATAGCCTGCCAGCCATACTTTGAGACCTGTTGGTCTACAGGGTCCATAAATAGAAAGAAAAAATATTATTGCTGTCATATTTAAATGGTTAAATGATAAAGTATATGAGAAAATGCTTTATAAACTGCAGCTGCAAAGCACTAGGTAAATATAAATTGATATCATTGCCAATAATAATTAGGAGTGAGTTACAAATGAAATTTTGCCAATGTTAACAACTGCATGCCACAAAAGATAAACATCAGTGCAGTTATATGGAAGATTTCATGTATAATTCATCCTTTTGTTTATCCCTTTTTATACTTAAACATTCCACCTTGGAGAATAATCCATGTTAGTTTCTAAATTTAAAACTATTTTGTAAAGTGTCTTCTAATATTGTTTACCTCCCAAATATTAGCAGTAGTAATAATAGCTCTGCTTTATAAATTATATTCTTTCTGATTTGCATATGCCATTTCATATATTTAAATTCTACTTTTCCTCATTTTGATATTGAAGAGACATATGCATGCCCATACACATAACTTAAAATACATGTGTTAAATTATTTAAGAAAGTAAATTATCAGCTCCCTTCTTTAAATTCTTCTCTCTCTTATCTAATGTTTGTAAAGATTAATATGGGCTTTAAAAGTCACTTCCTCTTGAATCTCAGAAAATAATGTTTGTGTGTGTCATGTTTTTTTTTTCCTGAGCAGAAATGACTGGGCAACCCAAAAGTGCATCTTCTGTCAAGACAAAGTGGTATTGGCCCCTTGTTGTGATAGCCGCTCTTCTCATTGGGAGTTTTTGGTATACTCGTCCTCCTGAAGCAGAAACCACTGCTGTTCAAGAGTTCCAGAACCAGATGAAACAACTGATGAATAAGTACCAAGGTCAAGATGAGAAGCTGTGGAAAAGGAGCCAAACGTTCCTGGAAAAACATCTTAATGGTTCCCAACCTCGGCCTCAGCCTGCGATTTTGCTGCTCACTGCAGCCCGAGATGCTGAAGAAGCACTCAGGTGTCTGAGCGAACAAATCGCTGATGCCTACTCCTCCTTCCGTAGTGTTCCTGCCATCCGGATTGATGGTGCCGGCAAAGCTACTCGAGACAGTGATACTGTCAAAGAAGAAGTAGATCAGGAACTGAGCAATGGATTCAGAAATGGCCAGAATGCAGCTGTGGTCCACCGCTTTGAGTCACTGCCTGCAGGCTCTACTTTGATCTTCTATAAGTATTGTGACCATGAAAATGCAGCCTTCAAAGATGTAGCGTTAGTCCTAACTGTTTTGTTGGAGGAGGAGACTCTTGGAACCAGTCTAGGCCTAAAGGAAATTGAAGAAAAAGTGAGAGATTTCCTCCAAGTCAAGTTCACCAACTCTGACACACCCAACTCCTACAAACATATGGACCCAGACAAATTGAGTGGACTCTGGAGCCGTATTTCTCACTTAGTCCTGCCTGTACAACCCGAAAATGACCTGAAAAAGGGCATCTGCTTTTAAAGGAAGGCAGAAGAGAAAATTATGTCTTGAGTGCTGAGGATTTTTTCAAACTTTCTAACCAGACAGCACTCAGAGCTCTTTTTGAAAGAACGGGTTTTTTTTTAAAGGAGGTTAGGTTCTTAGATACACATGGAACATCTGTATTGTTTATTCAGACTAATTATCTGTTACCTGAAAGACTCATTTCCCACTGAGATCTGTGTTAATGTTATCTACAGACTATAAATTATATACAGTCCCATAGAGGATCTACTTGGATTCCAGAGTGAATCATTATTGCTGTGGTATGACCAGTGGGAGGGATTTGGCTCCTTCCTATAAATCCTCCCCAATTTTTTAACTTGGATTTTTTTTCTCACAGAGTTTGTTATTGGTAAGACAGCTCCCTGAATGCAACTGTGGGCTTTCCTGTTTTGTTCTCTTTTTACATCATTTAGATGTGAATTCCTTAGTAAGCTTCTCCTTATAGGAACAAAAATAATGAAAGGCCATCTAAGTGTTTGTTTGGGTATTTCTTTCTTTTTTTCTTTGATTTTGGAGGGCAGGGAAAAGGAGACCAGGGAAAAGTTGTGGAATGGAGAAGGAAAGGGGAGGAAAAGTCTTCAAGATGAAATATTAAGATAAGTCACTGGGGGGATTCCTACATGGTCTAATGGGTGGGACTCCATGCTCTCACTGCCGAGGGCCTGGGTTCCATCCTTGGTTGGGGGGCTGAGATTCTGCAGGCCGCCCCATGCACACTCAGAAATTTTAAAAAAAAGTCACTGCCACCTGGGGTTCATCAAACATAGCTATATGAACTCCATTCTCAGTGAATTCTGTTGGGACTTTTATTTTCCTTTAAGAAATTTTTACTCCTCCCAAGGATCATGTATATGATGAGGTTTAGTATACTTGCTCACTTGGCTCTTAAGAACGGGCAAATTCAGGCAGTTTATTTTGTTCATATCCTGAAAGTTTTGTTAAGAAAGATAATGTCAGAAATTGGTAAATTGTTTTGTCAACCATCTCTCCTCAGTGACTGAAGAGGGATTTGATTTTCTGCATGTCCATTTGTTGCAGTCTAAGTCCTTTAATGACACTCTTGTAACAAGTATAAAGATTTACTATGCACATGATAAATTCTATTGAGTGCCTCAAGCCAAAAAGAAAGTGAAGTTTACTATATATGAAGGATGTTAAGATGTACTGCTGTACATTACTGTACCATAGTATTTCAGTTTTAACTTTGCATCTCTTTACAGCTTTCTCATCTGTCAACAGCTTTGGTTTTCTTAGAATCTCAAAATTCTGGATCAACTTTATTTTTTTATTGTCTACAAACCTTTAAATGATAATATTGTTTTTAGGGTACTAGAGCCTGTCAGTGGCTTTATCATTTACCTTTTGAGAACCCCATAACTGATGGTAGAATATGGTCTTATTTCTTCCACTAGGACTACCAATATTCGTAAATTTATACTCCTTATTATAATTTGTTCCCAACACTATCAGAAGTCAGATATTCTTGATTTATAGAGGATTCTAAAACAAGAATTTTTGAAAAGGCTTATTTTATACATATATGTATTATATGGAGAAACAGATGTTTTTATTAACTGTTTCACTGACCAAAATTTTTAAATAATTAATATTACTTATATCAGGAAAAATAATTGTAGCAGCTGATCTGTAAATGACTTTAAAAGCTATTTTAGTAATTTAAATAAATTTACTTTTTTGATTTGTACTCTGTGTAAGTTTAATGACTTGTATAAAAAATTATTATATTCATATTATAATATTATATTCATACAATTTATATAATTATATAATTATAATATTATTTATATAAGAATTATTATACTTTCAAAAAATTATTCCTAGGGTTTTCTTTACACTTGAACAATTTCAGTGACTTCTGCTTGAAGAAACAAGAGCAGAGAGAGAACTGGGGCTGCTCACAGTATGTGGTAGAAAATATAGTCACTGTAGTTTTCTCTTTCATCTGGGGATTTTAAATTATCATGAAAGTTGAATTAAAGTATTCCTCACTTGGTAAAAATCTACACCATGTTTCTCAAATTTTCCATTCTCACCTCCCTAAGGAACCTTTTTAGATTTTTTTTTCCATAATCATCTACCCCTATGAAATTTTAATACTGCATACAGACTGTGAATCATACACATATTTTTACACTTTATACACATGAAGGGTAAGATTTTGTTGCCCTCACTAAAAATGCCTGCTCAAGAACATCTGTATTTTAGATCATTGATGCCTGAAACATTGTTCATGTTACCATAATACTTTTGAAGGGGAAATTGTAATAAATCATTGGCTTGAAAATAGGAACCTGGGCCTCTAGAAATTAGGCCATTGTGACTTTGGGTGACTGCATGGGCCCAGGGAAAACCACAGTGCAATACTGACCTTACAGATTTCTGTAAACATAATTTGCTTCCCATTTAATGACTTTCTTATAGTACTTGTAAAAAGTTTTCTAAATCTCTAATCTTCAAAAGAAAAACTGGAAGTAAATCTGATTTTCATTCTATGAAGAGAATTTAGAAACTTAGAATTTCTAAGAAATTATAATTTGTAACTTAGAATTTGCATAGTTAATACCTAAACTGATTTACCTCTGATCTTAGATCATCAGAAAGTGGACTTAATGTTCACAATATGAAGAAGCATTCCTCATTGACTGCCAAAAAAAAACCAGTGGACTTTTCTACATTGCCCTTATCAAGGCCACAGAGTAAAATCTTAAGACGATTTTTACTGACCTTAACAACCTGGGATGAAAGCGTAAGTCCTGAGTTTGGGAAACCAAACTGAGAAGTCTTCCATTGTTTGCCATTGACTTGGATAAAGAGGAAACTCCTGCTTTAAACCTGTCTTTGGCCTAGAATCAGAGAAGTCCTATTAGGCTTTCAGGTTCTTTTGGATGGTAGGGGAAATATAACCCATCATCTGAGCATAAACAGGAGAAACCTTTAGCAATTTGCAAATTGTAGTCTTCTTGCATACTCTTGAACACTTCCGAAATATTCATATACCTGCCTTCTCTCTTGTCTCTGCTAATTATGCTCTGCTAATTCTTACTTGTTCTGAACCCTTTATTTTTTTAGGCAGAAATTCACTGAAACCTTCCTTAAGTCCCTATTCTGGAATACTGGTGCAGGTGCCTCTTTATGCTTTTGTATTACTCCTATATTACTACTGACACCACATTTAGCACATTCCCACTACCGTATTTGTTGTCTAGTTGCTCAATCATATCCGACTCTGCGATTTCAAGGACTGCAGCATGCCAGACTTCCCCGTCCTTCACCATCTCCTGGAGTTTGCTCAAATTCACGTACATTGAGTCAGCAATGGCATCCAACCATCTTGATCTCTGTCGTCCCCTTCTGCCTTCAATCTTTCCCGCATCAAGACCTTTTCCAATGAGTTGGCTCTTCACATCAGGTGGCCAAAGTCTTGGAGCTTCAGCTTCAGCATCAGCCCTTCCAGTGAATATTCAGGACTGATTTCCTTTAGGATTGACTGGTTTGATCTTGCAGTCCAAGGGATTCTCAAGAGTCTTCTCCAACACCACAGTTCAAAAGCTTCAATTCTTTGGTGCTCAACTTTCTTTATGGTCCAACTCTCACATCCATACATGACTACTGGAAAAACCATAGCTTTGACTATACAGACCTTTGTCAGCAAAGCAGTGTCTCTGCTGTCTAGGTTTGTCATAGCTTTTCTTCCAAGGAGCAAGTATCCTTTAATTTTGTGACTGCAATCACCAACAAGTGATTTTGGAGCCCAAGAAAATAAAGCCTCTCATTATTTCCATTGTTTCCTCATCTATTTGCTATGAAATAATGAGACCCGATGCCATGATCTTAGTTTTTTGAATGTTGAGTTTTAAAAGCCAGTTTTTTTTTTTTCATATTCCTCCTTCACTTTCATCAAGAGGCTGTTTAGTTCCTCTTCGCTTTCTGCCAGTAGGGTAGCGTCATCTGTATATCTAAGGTTGATATTTCTCCTGTCAATCTTGATTCCAGCTTGTGCTTCATCCAGCCCAGCATTTTGCTTGATGTACTCTGCATATGTAAATTAAATAAGCAGGGTAACAATATACAGCCTTGACATACTCCTTTCCCAATTTGGAACCAGTCAGTTGTTCCATGCCCGGTTCTAACTGTTGCTTCTTGACCTGCATATAGGTTTCTAAGGAGGCTGGTAAGGTGGTTTGGTATTCCCATCTCTAAGAATTTTCCACAATTTATTGTGATCCACAGTCAAAGGCTTTACCATAGTCAATGAAGCAGAAGTGGATGTTTTTATACCTCTTTTTTAAAAATCATATTTACAATGAAATTAGATTTATAATATTGTGTTAATTTCTGCTCTACAGTAAAGTGATTCAGTTAGGTATGTATATAGCCTTTTTCATGTTATTTTTATTATGATTTATTATAGGATGTTAAATATAGTTCCCTGTAGTTATACAGTAGGACCCTGTTTATCCATTCTAAATATAATGGGTTTTTTTTTTATCCTAAATATAATGGTTTTTATCTGCTAATCCCAAACTCCCAATCCTTCCCTTTCCTACTGTTCCTCCCCCACTGGCTGCCACAAGTCAGTTCTCTGTAAATGTGTTTCTGTAACATGGATATATTCATTTGTGTCACTTTGAATTCCACCTGTAAGTGATAACAGTATTTGTATTCCTCTTTTTTTTCTATACAATTTAATTTTTATTTATTTTTGGCTGTGCTGGGTCTTTGTTGCTGAGCAGGCTTTTCTCTAGTTATGGTGAGCAGGGGCTACTCTTTGGTTGCAGCATGTGGGCTTTGCATTGCAGTGGCTCCTTCTTTGGGGAGCCCAGGCTCTAGGGCCAGTGGCTGAGTAGTTGCGGCTCCTGAACTCTAGAGCACAGACTCAGTAGTTGTAGCACATGGGCTTAGTTGCTCCACAGTATGTGGGATCTTCCGGGTCAGGAATTAAACCCATATCTCCTACACTGGCAGGTGGATTCTTTACCGCTGAGCCGCCAGGGAAGCCCTGTATTTCTCTTTCTGATTTAACTTCACTCAGTGTAATTCTAGGTCTATCCTTGTTTGCACTATCCTGCAAGTGGCATTATTTTGTTCTTTTTAATATATGTGTATACTCACATCTTAATCTGTTAATCTGCTGATAGACACTTAGGTGGTTATCATGTCTTGGCTATTGTAAATAGCTGCTATGTACATAGGTATGCATGTATCTTTTTGAATTAAAGTTTTCTTAAAAGTGCTAGCAAGTTTCCTTACATCTTTTCATGTTGCCTAAGAGGGTAGTTATAGTCTAGATAAGAGATGGCTATTCATGTGGAGAGAAGATAGATAAGAATAATATTTGAGAAGTAGAAATGACAAGATTTGGTGGTTGAATGTAATATTACAGAGAAAAACACCTCATAGAGGACTCTTCAAAGTGCCATACTACTAAAAATACCTCTTCAGTCTATTTAGCTCATCTGTCTTCTCTCCCCAGATACTAAGTACACAGTGGTAGACTAAATTCTTCTCTCTACATGTCTTTCTGTTGGCTTTTAGCATTTTGTAGTTGAGACTCCTGTATTCAGGAATTACTTGATTATTAATAAAAATCCTGTCTCATCAACAAAAGAGAAAAGGAGGGGTAAGGTGGATATTATAAGAATACAGATCTCAGACTCCAAGGTGGAAAAATATGGAAACTGTGAGGACTGTTCTACATGGAGACCTCATGGATGTTCCCTCTGCCTCTCTACTTCCTGCTTGCTATGCCTCAGCAACTTCCCCCTTGTGACTTAAACACACCAAGAGAGTGAACCTGATTGGCTTGGTCCAGTGTATGGGGTGATCCCTGAAAAGAATGTATAATTAAACATAGCTGCCTAGGTCACCACTTTAATAGGGTCTGTGGGCTGGGAATAGAGTTGGAGGTCAGGCCAAGGAATGGGCAGACACAGTTAAAGGACAACTGAATACATCCTCAAATTTATAGGCCTTCATATAATGTGATGCTATCCTTTTTCATTCATTTTGCCTTTTTAAAAAAAATCAGTGAAAGGAAAAGGTAGTGGAAACAATGAAGTTTTAAAATTTGAGTCCTGGTCATGGTTCTGTCTGATAAATTTGACCTAAGCAAGTCCTTTTTGTAGCTCTGCTACAAATGTGTTCTGATTTTTCCCCATTGCTCCTGTGTAGTGTTTCCTAGAAGAAGGCAATGGCAACCCACTCCAGTACTCTTGCCTGGAAAATCCCATGGACGGAGGAACCTGGTAGGCTGCAGTCCATGGGGTCGCATAGAGTTGGACACAACTGAGCGACTTCACTTTCACTTTTCACTTTCATGCATTGGAGAAGGAAATGGCAACCCACTCCAGGGTTCTTGCCTGGAGAATCCCAGGGACAGGAGCCTGGTGGGCTGCCGTCTATGGGGTCACACAGAGTTGGACACGACTGACATGACTTAGCAGCAGCAGCAGCAGTGTTTCCTATGCTGAAAAACAGAATGGCACAGTAAAAAAATTCCAGCTATTATTGTAACGTATAATGGCTATTATTAATTTGTTCTAAGTTCATCACAAGCACACTGAGCATTCTTTAGTTTTCAGTCTGTTTCTTGGGCAAGTGAGGTAGGAAGTGACTCCTGATTCAAATTTGATGTTTTTGTTTTCCCACTTTTAGAGAGCACCATTCTTAGGCTAAACCCAAGAA